GTCGTCTATCGTACCACTTCCTTTCTCAAAAAAAATCAATGCTTTGTGGCTCACTACCATTCGCTGAAGTTTGCATCGAATCAAGCATAAGACATGATTACCTTCTGAGCTTCTGAATTCATCAATTTTTGTTTGAGTTTCTTCATGACGTTGCAATTACTTATTTAGATGGAGTGTTTATTGGAAAAAAACTCAAAATAAGCAAATGCATGATGAATTATTTTATTGGCACAGAAGAATTTTTTCACAAATCTTCATATAAGTGGAAAAAAAAGCTGTACACCGACGATGTCTTTTGACAGTTTTACTATTATCGAACGGGCTGACAAGCGAAAATGAGTGTGTAAGAAATATAATCGGCTCTATGCATGACCCTTTTATTGTAATCGATCCACCCGTTATGAAATCAGTTGATTATTAGCTCATTTAGTAAGCATTTCAGGCGATAATTAATGTGGGGCGCAGTTACGGTTGTAGGCATGAATGCCAGTGTTCATTGTACCCACACTGGCACTCAAAACAACATCCGCCCGCACCCACATCCAACACAGTCACACCCCCACATAACCACATCCGACAACAGTGGTACCCCTATCCTCACCCCAAAAGGACACAATATAAGATTGGGGAAGAGGCATGAGGGAAAGTTTGTACAGTTGTGAGCATAGGTCTTCTGTACATCGTCACATTTGCACATGCACTTTTAACAAGCATTCTTACTTTCGTTTAGTGCTAACTGGAAAATGGTGGTCCATCAAATTTGTTGTAAGAAACTGTCAAACACAGTACCTTGGGTGGTTACGAACATTATAGTTTCTGGAATATCATGGATATTGAACTTGGCTATGTTGGTGCTCAGTATTTTTTCATTTCTCAAGTATCTGAACCGGGGCGTATATCATATAGAGTTCGCTTCGGTAAACGATACCAATGGTTCCTATTTCTTAATAAAAGATAACTACACGATTAGTTCATGCTCTAATAAATCAGCATTGAATTTCCATCCAATACCTGACTTTAATGCAACCATTATCGGTCATAATGAATATAGTACTGCTCTGATAGTAATGTTCTGGATAGTCATAGCGATGTCAATTATTGGTAACTTCCTGGTAGATGTTGCTGAATACGTTTACCTATGTAGACGTGGTCGTAAAAGAGCCAAAGAAAAGAGACAGGAAAATAGTTGTCGCGAAAATTTTATTGGCTTTTTATTTTTCACATTTTCAAAAGCGTTCTGCAATAGTATATATTCTGTCACAAGCTTTTACACGGGTGTTTTCGATGCATCAGAAATATGCTTATCGCTTAATGTGCCTTTTGTTAACGAATTTTTGTTTACATTGTGGATTCCAACATTGGCTTTATTGACAGCATCAATTATTTTGGTTACAGTTTTGATGACAATTCTATTTTATTTTCATGTTAAATCTGGAGACATAGTATGGAAGTCATCTAAACAAAAATTGGTAAGCGGTATAACTGCTTGTATTGCTATACCATTCTTTCTATATATAACCTTAATGCACATTATATCTTTTATTCCACTGACAAATGGAGTGGGTTCTATAACAACGAGTGGAGTTACCATAAGCGCATTATTATCAAATATCCAACTCATAGCAGTATTATTAATTTCCATACCTGCGTGAAGCGAAATAGTTCCATTAAGATGTGAAAATCAAACACGCTTTACATCCAGTCCATTCCTGTTGTCATGAAAACAGTGACCGTAAAAATGTTGCCCTGTAATGCAAGATAACTAAACTGCTGTGCCAACTATTTTTTTACAATAATCTCAATACAGTGTGCTTCCATCTATATGATCCTGTAACAGTTTCCTTGTCACTAACAGTTATTTCAGAATAAAATTCAGACAGCTCAATTCTCACATTTAACATAGCAACATCATCCAAATAATAAAAAATAAAGAAAGAAGGCAATAGGACCCGAACAAGAGTGACTCAAAAACAAATGACTTTTACCGAGTGTGGGTGTGGGTGGATGTCGGTGTGACGGTGTGGGTGGACGAGTGTTTTAGAGGGGATATGAATAGAATGAACATAGACATTCGCGCCTACAGTCATAACTACACCTCACATCAGTTATCGCTTGAAATTTTTACTAACTGAGCTAATAACCAACTAATTTCATAATGAGTTGATCGATTACAATGAAAATGTTATGCGTAGAGCCGATCATATTTATTACACACACGTTTTCGCTTGTCAGCTCGTTCGATAATAGTGAAATTGTCGAAAGGCACCGTTGGTACACAGCTTTTTCTTCTCACTTATGTGAAAGTCTGTGAAAAAAAAAACTTTTGCGATAATAAAACACTTCATCATGCATTTGCTTATTTTGAGTTTCTTTTCAATAAAGACTCCATCTGAACAAGTAACTGCAACGTCACGAATAAACTCAAACAAAAATCAATGACTTTGGAAGCTCAGAAGGTAATTGTGTCTTATGCTTGATTCGATGCAGACTTCAGCGAATGGTAGTGAGCCACAAAGCATTGACTTTTTTTTTAGAAAGGAAGCGATGCGATAGACGACTTGGTGAAAAGAAATGACTAAAAAGAAAAGAGGGTGAATGTAGGGTTTCTTCATGAGAGTGTCAATGCAGTTGTTGGTATGAGTGCATGTGGGAGAATGTGATTGTAACTGTGAGTTTGTTTGTGCGTGTGCATTTGCGTATGGGTGGATAGATATGGTTGTGCGTTTGTGTGTGAATACAGCGAAGATTGACACCCACTTGCACATGTGTTCAGTCTCATAATATGGTGTTACGGTTTCTTTCTTTTCTTTCTGTTCTATATATATATGTTATATATGTACGATCTTCACGCAGGTCCTTGATGTACGTGGACAACTTTATTATGTAATCGAAAAACAATACTGTAATACATATACGATATAGATGAGATATATATATGAAGAACGAGAAAACAAAGAAACCCATTAAAGAATCAAATAGATGAAAGAAAATAGAGGTCAACAATAAATAGTGAATATGTATAGATGCGGCATCACTGTAACATATGGGTATGAGTAGGTCCGAAGAAGACTGAGGTACTCTTAAAAGTAGGATGTGGGGATCGGGGTAGGGTGTTGGGATGGATATCATTCTTTTCTTAACACGCACAGTGGCAGCTACAACTACATCTACATCCATCCTCAAGACAGCTTAAATCTCAATGTTCTATAGGTAAATCTAACAGCATTTGTTTTTGATTAACCCATACCCGCGGCGATGGGCCCCACTGACAGAATCCACGATGGGGTAGCCTAGAAGCTCGACCATCATAGAAAAAATTGAATATTTGTACCATCCTTTAACCAAATGAGCTCATTTTTTACCGTTGATAGAAGAATGTTCATAGCTCATATGAAAAAGAGAAGCATCGATAAAAGTTGTGTTGCAATACTACATTTGCTAAAAATAAAGAAATGAAATCTTTTATGAATTATGAGAGAGCCATATTTATATCGCCACTGATGGGTTAAAATCGATATGAATGCAGGGTGTGAGTATACAAAAAGAGCATATGTACATGCACGCCCAAATATCGGTTGTATCTCGAAGCAGCGTGTGGTGTATATCTACTATTAATGTTCAGCATCATTTTGTAAATCTACCGTACGTAAGTAATACCATACTCTGCAGAACAAATGTCTCAAGAAAGAAATTTAGGCAAAAGATCTGTTTTTTAGGTTTGTCATTTTTAGTCCGGAAGAAACACCAATAATTCTAAACTAACAAAACACAACATGTTTTATATCTTCCTCGGAAGAAATTGATCATTTTAATGTCATGTTTATCGACTGTTTCTGCCAAGATTTCTTCAAATTAAGGGCCCCTCCTCTTAGAAAACTCAATTTGTCGAAGAAAAACTGGAGCGTGAATGTGGGGTGTGGGTGTGGGTATAGAATAAAAGTTGAATCACATCCACACCTATACCCACACCAAATCCACACCCACGCCCACACCCTAATGGATCCTGGTAGGATCCTGCATTCTCAATTCAGAAAAATATTTGAGCAGAAGCCTGAATAAATCCCGAACAGGATTCTGTTTAAGCATTAGAAATCCTGCAAACAGGAATTACTAAGATTTGAGAAAGGATTTGGCATAATACGTGGCAAGATTCTTGAGATTCATGATCCTACAAGATCTTTCCAGACTTTTTCAACGAATCAACAAAACTGTGAGTAGAGTTCTGATTGTTGAAACAATAAACAGTGCGCCTTTATTTTAAACAAAGCAAAAAAGATAGAAATATAATAGCAAGATTGAATCAATTTGTGTTAATGAATGATGAGGCACAATGGAAAAGTTACGTCGAACACGCAGATTAGAAATAAATAGTGAGTGTGAATGACATCGATTCGATGTCTTATCGATTGTTCTTCGAAACTATTTGAGGGTAAAAGTGATCTCTACTTTTGAATATGTTTGAATTGTCTTTATACTTCACAGTATTCTTCAAATATTCGTAAAAGATTATTGTGCTAAAAGAAATCCTTGATTAATTGCAATCATAATCTTGTGCTCAATCGAAGCCTGTCAAAAATATTGAGAAGATCCTCAGTTTGTGCTCGAAACAAGTCATTGAACTCATTTGCTGCTCGAAAATGTGAACATTCAACTGTATCAGCTGCTCATTTTTCAAAGGTAATTTAACGAATCTATTTGAGAAGCTACTGAAGAAAGTATTAAAAATAAAAAGCAATCATGTTTTCGTTTTTGGTTTCAATTTTTGTGCATCAATTGTTGATTAATAGTATGTCGACACATTAGCCAGCGTATCCAAGCATCAATCGGAACGCAAAGACAAGCACTAAAGTATAGAATGAGTGGACTGATATTCCCGAGCAATTGTTGATGCATACAAAATGATAATTTGAACAAGTTGTCGTATTAGTTACTTCAGCTAGAAATTGTTCTAAAGCTGTAGTAAATCTAGTGGGTTCTTGTATAAATGCAAAATGACTCGTTCACAGTAATATCAATTCTCCGGCTTGTGAGATCCAACCAGCCATCGTGTCCGTTTGTTCTCTATGGATAACTTCTTCATGATCACCGGCTACAATCCAAACGGGTAAATCCGAAGGAATTTTTTCAAAATCGACTTTTGCCCATTTCGGATAATTAGCCCACATTGTTAGTAAATCATTGAGAAAAATTTCATATGGCTTGTTTGGATTAAATGCTTCGTATTCGGCTTGAGTGCGTTTAAAATAAGCAGCAAAAACAGGTGGCATAGACGCGTTGTTCCCAGCCGATGAATTATAGTGCGCAGCGAATGCAAACAATGAATATAGTCTATCAGGATAATTCATCGCCAGATTGAGACCAATAATTCCTCCATCACTCCAACCAACAAGGTGAATCTTGCTAAAACCAAGATAATCAAGTAGACTAACAACATCCGAAGTCATCAGATCGTATGTAATATTGGCAGACGATGATGGACTTCGACCATGTGCTCGAGAGTCCATTAGAATACATTTGTAAGTACTCTGAAGTTGTCGAACTTGTAGTCCCCAATAGTCACTATTAGCAAATCCGCCGTGAAGGAACAGAACAGGCGCACCATTTTCTGGCCCATAAATAGTGTACCATATGCTGATATTATTGATCTGTGCATATTGATCGTAATGAGGATAAGGAAGTTGAGGAGTAGATGGAAGGCGTAACCATGGATATTCTGAATTGATCAATGTAGAATTTTCACTTTTAATCGATGTCAAAAAGTGGAAGAGTGCGAAAACGAGGAGATATGTGGTATTCTTGTTGTTCCGTTGCATTCTGTCGTGATGAAATAGAAATAGCTACTTTTCCCAATTTCTGCTTGTCGTTTATGAATAATTGTTCAATTTACAATGAAATATGAACAAAACTGAAACGAAAGATAAAAAACAGATATTTTAACTATGCGACCATTTTCTTGTATTGAAACTTTTATTGAAAGAAATGTATACATAATGGACACAAAGCTAAATGCAACATATTAGATGCAAGTCGATCATGTGTTTTGGCCAACATCAGTGTCTGCCAATTTCTCATAATGTGTCATCTGCAATGATGCGAGCAGAACAAATACGAAAATTCAGTACAACCGGTATCACGACGAACTTTTTAGACTGTCCTATTCGAATAATTGAACCAACCTTGTTCATTCAGAGTTTGAAGATGTCTGCTTAAAAACGAAGTCAACGCTCTTTACTTATGTGTCCGTATTGATGTTCACCCGAAAATCGTACTTTTTACGTATAAAAGAGAAGTCAACCCTTTTACAAAAGCCAGTTCATTAATACTTTTTTGTGTGAGATATTTTGACCAGCACCTCCTATACTTACGATAAAGAACGAAAATACCAAGAATAACATACAGAAAAATTGTTTTCATTCTCATTACTTGTGATCATTTTTCACTATTGATGTTCTGACTGATAAAAGAAAAAACAAAAACATGCGTGCATTTTTACCTTATACTGTTGCTCGTGAATGATGATGCAGAAAAGACAAAATAAAAGAGGATTGTATAAAATGTTTTCACCGCAGTTACGTATGCTTATCGTTCTCAATAGTTACTGAGATGAAGAATAGAAAAAAGTCGAGGTTTTGCATTCAACAGTATGACATTTATGAGAAGTAAAGAATGAGTAGATGAAACGAGCGCACAAACTAACGGGTGGGTCAGAGGAAATGAATCCTTCCGTATATATAAATTTTCTTCTCCGAAATACAGTCTTTAAAATTTGATCTTTTTACCAAAAAGCTTGCCGTCAAATTCTCTACAAATCCATGCATGCTTGGTTAACGAATATGTTCTCCTTAGGTTTTCAAAATCTGATACAAGCGTTTCATGAAATCATCGCAACTGCTTAAAACATGCTTCTTTAAAAATTTGTCTCACTTCAATTTTTAATTTGTCAGTCAATGTGGTTTTTATTGTAATCTTGGACCATTCCATAGCTTGAACAAGTTTATTTCAAATACTGAATGTGGGTGGATGTGGTTGAAGAGATGACCTACAGCCACAACGAGATCCGCATCTACGCACTCATATACATCCACACCCACAGCTTGGGATTCCCGTAGTGTTACCTGGGGAGACGCAAATTTGAGAAACATTCAAAAGTAGGTTACAAAGACGCTTCGCCATTCGGTCCTGGAACAAGCTACAGACCTGAAAGTTTCAGCGTTCGGCGGAGAATAGTTAACACTAATAAAAGTTATAATTCTGTTTGCGCTTCATAGAGATATTTGAATCAGAACAACGCCAAAAATTAGCATTTTCTGTAGGATTTTCTGTAGCAATTTCTAAGAAAACAGAGCATGAGAAAAAGAAACGTCCGGTGCAAAAACTGATCATTTCAACAAATAGTATCTATGCTGAAATTTTCAGACTTCTACCATTTGAAATAGAAGGGCTACACAAGGTCCATTTTGGCTATTAGGTCTCCCTGTCTTTCTCTATTTGGACTTCTTTGCAATGCTTTCAAACTTTTTTGAACCCACACGTATGCTTACAGACGCAAGTCCAAAAAGCTCTGAAAATTTCATTTCATTCGGATAAGGTCGATGTAAATTCTAGTAGACTGTCGAAAGAATAACCCAGTATAGGACCGTTGGCACTGTTGTACAATAATCGTTGTTAATTGCTCATACAGTTCGATGTCAACAAGGTGATTCAAGTATCTGATGTCTACAAAGATGAAAAAGATTCGCTTCGCACCTGAATGTGTTTGCATCGGCTACAAGATGAATAGCATGGCACGGCACGAGAAACTCAGTCATATCACTAGATAAAAAGGAATTTCTATGCTTTTCATAATATCCATAAAGCTTCTATTGTCCATTTCAGTGTTAAATGGCCGTGGGTATTTTTTGAATAACTTTTGATAGGAACGAGAGAGAGATCTGTGGTTGTCGCCGTTGGAAAGAGAAGACGAAGACGCATCGAATTATGTATAGAAAGATTTTCTTACTACTCTTCTAAAGGTTTAGTCAACATTTTTTAAGGAATTGCTGTTTTCTCCGACGTTAAAAAAGTGGCTTTTCTACCAGAATACCACAAAAATTTACATATTTTTGTTTATTTTGTGGAAAAAAAGTGAGGTGCTAGATTGTGTTCCGATGGTTTGGATATTACGCTGGTAGTAGTTAGAAGCAGGATCTTGCTATAGTTTTGTAGCCTTTGCGTTGGCGATTCTAGCGCATTCGTGAAAATCAATAAATTAATATCGTGACCATGAGAAGCATGCTGTTTTTCTTAAAGTTTTATGTAAAGCCTATAGGAAAGCAGCTAGGGAAAATTTTTCTATATATAATTCGATGCGTCTTCATCTGCTCTTTCCAACGATGAAAATCGCAGATCTTTATCTCGTTCCCATCAAAAGTTATTCAAAAAATGCCCATGGCCATTTAACTCTGAAATGGACAATAGCATTTCGATTTTTAATTATCTTTTTTTTTTCTTATATCTATTACTTTCTGCTGGGTTTTTGTTATTTCTGGTTAGCGTGGCCTCTTTGTCTGCTAGCCATTTGCTCCTTTAGGACCGACACGGTCAGAGGGTTAAATAATCCAATAAAAGACCTTTAGTCTCTACTGTACCCTCACTTTTATTCAGAGATTCATTTTTATCCTCATTCCTTCTATTTGATATTAAAATGAATACTACGATTTGTAAAAAGAGATTCCTGAAGCAACTGTAGCTTAACGTCGATGGTCGCCTATGACGAATATTACATCTGCTTAGTTATGATGATATCGAATGAAGTCTAAGGGTTACAGACATTTGATAATGCGAAAAAAACTAAAATTCTACAATTTCATCGGGCGTCTATCAACTTCGTTCTCATGTGAAGTAACAAGAAAGAATGTATTAATTCTTTTCACAATTGAAAGCCTGTACTTTTCTTTACCTTGACGGCAAGTACTAAAAGTTATACATCTGCATTATCTTTCGGGTAGTCTCTAAGCGGAGAGAGAGTATACTTCTTTCACTGTACGATGACAATATATTGGATTTTGTCGAACCTTCTGGATGAAAAAAAGTTGAAGATTCATTGTGGTAAAATGAAGATTCTATGTTGAAAATTTTTTTTAATCTCAATTCTTTAGATAACAAAAGAAAAAAAGATGTTTTTGACATAAAAGACATTAGATCCTGATTCAAGAATGCCATAGACAAGAATTCTTCTAGGTTTTCTTTAGTTTCATAGAGACCTATCCATCGTCAATATATGAAACCAGATGATATATAAAACTATTTTGACTAAGATTTGCCATTACATAAAAAAATTTTCAACTGATGCCTGAAATATTAACGAAATTCTCGATTACATCTAATGAGAAAAACCACAAGCTGCTGATACGAAGATAACAGTAAATACAAAGCATGCATAGTCTCTCTCGGTAAGACAATGAGTTTCATAAAGTGTCTAGTAGATTATATAGCATTATTCGATTCAAAAAAAGAAAGATTAATCAATTTTTCATTTTCTTCTTCTTAATATGTCCATTATATTATATACCTTATATATGCAAACGATAGTTGTTGTTGTTATTATTGATGCGACAAGAAAGCTAAAAAAACGACTGTTCGAGTGTATCTTTCTAACATCGTGGTATACAAGAAGAAAGGAAAAAAGCCCATCCTCAATATACATATATAGCTCATTTTTTCCTTTCGTATTAGTATAACGATTATCTGATGTAGTATATAGAAAAGAAGCATTATCATCAACGAAAGAATTGTTTTTTCTAATTCTAAGCAAACAAGTCGTTTTTTTTATTCATCGTCGTCAGAAACAACAACAACAAGCGTTATCCTATCCATTTTTTTCCCCTGAAAAAAGAATAAAAGAAAATAAGTAACTTAATGAAAAAACTCTTAGTAGGAAAAAAATTTTTGCTAAGTATTTTATTTAAAGTCTAAGTGAAAAAAATTGATTTTCTGAACGGAATTTTACACATGCCTTGATAAACAAACAAAGGGGGGGGACGTTAAGCGATGAAATCAGCCCCCTCTCGAAATTGAGTTTCATATTTTCCAAATAATCTATTGAGATGTCAAAAGTCGATTATCGTTCGAATTAACCAGTTAGTCCTAGTTATGGCTGTGCACGAATGACTTAAAATTTTGATCTTGTCTGTTTCCTATAAGGTTATCGTATGCAGTGTTCGTATGAAGTATATTGCCTCTATTTTAAGCACTTTTTTATTTGAGTTATATGTCAAATAAAAGCTCATTCTTTCCGCTATCGAATGGCATAAAAGAGTATGACAAAATATTCTTCTTTCACTGTTTTCTTCAGATGACCTTGTACATTTCTATGTACCATTATACAGGTACTCCTGAGAAAATCCCATTCTATGGTACTAAAAGAATACAGGTCCATTTTGAATTAGTTTTATTTTCGAACCGACAAGTAGAATGAACTTGTTGAAAAAATGAAGGAGAAAATGTTTTTTCTATTGTTTAATGTAAATCGATTCGATTCGTCAGTTAAGAATTGATGAAGTTTGAACTATTTATTTGATCTAAATTCTTCTTTATGAATTCGAATCGATTGTTTTCAGGATAGAATTGTTTGTTTTAATGAATTATGGAAAATAGAGGAAGTCGTTTCACATATATTTGGAAGCATATAAGTATATATAAATATAGAATTTTGTTTTTGTTATTAAAGAAATCTGTAGATAAGTTAAGGAAGAAATGGAATGAGGAAAAATAAGTATAAATTTAGTTTATTTGAATAAGAAATAAAGAAGAGTAATGCTAAGCAACGCGTTTCGAATTTTTTCTTCGTCAGACTAGATGCAAGCTAATGAGAGTGAGAAAAAGTGAAAAACAACAAAACGTATACACAGTAGTGGAGCACGAAAGAAAAAAAGGAAAATATATAATGATTTGACAAAAAGGAGAAATATATAGTGATCTGAAAATAATCTGGCACACTATCAGACCGTCGTAGTTATATTGGTTTTGGTTTTTCGTTATATAATCTATAAATTGTACAAGTTATAAGGTGTGGAACAAATCGATGATACAAATTATGACATGTGAAACGAATAAATGATACGAATTATGATATGTGAAATGTGTTGATATGTAATGACGTTTTTGGTTTGTATTATTGTGTGAAAGAGTTAAAATGAATTGTGTTATGATGGAAAAAATTGTACCATGATGTGGAAGAATTAAAAAAGAATCAAAAAGAGTTATATCATGGTGTGGATAATTTGAAAAGAATTGTAAGATACGTGATCGGTAGTAATATTGATGATGGTGAGTAAATAGTTGTATAAATACTTGACAATAGTGAGTGCGTAAGTGATTGTTATAGTTATTAGATATCGAGAATTTGTATATATAGGGAATTCAGAATTAGAAATTAAGAATTAACATGATAAAAATTTAACATTCAGAATACAAGAAAATACAAAGAAATTTTTTGCAGAAATAGAAAATTAAGAGTTGGGAATTAAGATTTAAGAAGTTTTCCTTTTTCATAATATAGATGTCAAGAGTCAAAGAAAAATTGGAGTACATAGTATTGGAAAGAGAAAAAAACAAGAAAAAGAAAAAAAAGAGACAAAAATAGAATTTGAGTAGATAGAGGTATACATGTGTTCTCGACAGAAAAAAAGAAAACATATATATACATCTGTGTAGAAGATATATATTTTTATAGAACATAGAGAACAATATTTTTTTTTATGTATGTGTAGAAGAGATATAGATGTAATGAAAAAAGTATATACATTTGGAAGATAGGTAGAGAACAATATTTTTTCGAATGAGATATTTAGGAGATAAGTAGAGAACAATATTCTATATGGAAACGTATATACATGTAGATGACAGATAGAGAACAATTTTTTTTATGAGGATGATACGAAGAAATATCGATATGTGTGTATAGAAGAGGTATATTTATGTAGAAGAGATATATTTATGTATGTATAGAAGCGATATACATGAGATAGATATTTTTTTATAAAAACACAAAGATTAATATTTTTTAACAATTGTTTATATATGTATGGCAGAAATATATTTTTTATAGAATCGAGAACAGTATTTTTATATATGTGTAAAAGAGATATACTTAATGAAAAAGTATATATACGTAGAAGATGAAATATTTGCCAGGAAAAGATAAAATATATATGTGTATAGAGGAGGGTGTGGGTGTGGGGTGTGGGTGTGGGGTGTGGGTGTGGGGTGGATGTTGCTGTGGACGCAGTTGAAATTAAGACTAAAACTCCCACCCCCACCCACACACCCACAGCCACACCTCACACTCCCACCCACACCCTCAATATTCTTTTAATTCTTCCACTTTTTTTGTAAATTTATAAGGATTATTTTAAAATATGTTATATTTCATACATTTTCTCAATAACAAAGTTGACAGAATTCATCAAAATCAATATCGTTCATTTCTGTCCTTCGCGCTCGTCTACATGATATACGAACAAGTTCTTTTTCATATGCAGAGTATGCATGCACGGGTCAAATGAATATGAGGACAGCAAGGAAAAGAAAATTTAATTTGTCTATCAATGAATAAATATGTTCGAAGATGAAAATTTAATCAAGATGCTTAATGTAGCATCATCAAAGTGTTCCTACCTCTCTATGATATAAATCAATTTCTCAATTTCATTACAGATTATTAAAGATATTGATTCTATTTTTACAATCTTCAGTAGGGAACAGAAACTATCCTTTATGTTTATATTGTTTATTTAATTATAACTCCGTCTCAATGCTGAGAATTTTTCAGCGAAATTTCACGAAATTCAAAGAGTTAACCATATCATTTTTTTCAAAAAAGACAATAGAAAAAACTAAAACTCTAATTATTAGAAATAATTATTAAATCGATTTTTTTTCTGGATATAAGTGAAAATTAACATAATGAAAATTTTGGTTAAGCGAAATGCATATATATATATGAATGAGAAGATCCTATCTTATGATGATAAATGATGATGTTGTATTTGAATATTGACTCAATGCAATTAAAATTAAATAAAAAAAAATAAGAACGACGTACAAGAGAGAACAGAATAATAATAGTTCACATATCGCTGAGCCGCTAAAGAGCGTAGATGACGCGAAGCTGGTTCGAATCCAGTGCGAAACGGTTTATTTTTTTCTGTTCTGTACGTTGTTTTTCCATTGAATTTTGTCAAATTTTTTTTGGCTTACGGTCAGAGGTACCCTCTCGAGATCTCAACGGCGATATAGGTAATTGATCACGCTGAATCCGAATATGCTATTTTTATTCACCGAACACCTACCCTTCAAAACCCCTTCGGGGTGATATGAAAATACTTGACTGGTGATCCGGAAAAACTTGTCACAAAAGTCTAATATTCAAGTTTCGATGTAGTTTCATTTCCTCGTTTAAGCGGTGAGAATTCCACGTCTCTATCTCATTGCTATAAAAAAATTATTCCAAAAATACTCACTTGCCTTTTAATTTGAAATGGATATTGGTTTTATTCCTCTTTCAGTTGTACGAAGACAAATGGCATAAATTAATCAAATTCGTTTTTTTGAGATTGTTTTGTTATTTTTTTTTCAATAAAGAGTTATATGTTGAAAGAATTGAAAAACAAGCAAATGCATAGATTCAAATAGCTCGACAATCAGATGAATCTAATTTTTCATCATCAATTCCATCTTCATTACACTCGACTGATGAAGATCTTCCATCGAATGATCATCTTTCTCCTTTATGTAAACGAGTTTATGAAGATGCTGTTAGAACATCTTGTTGTAATCTTGGTTTTTTTGATGAATGTAACAGAAATAAAATGGTTTATTTTTTTTTCGAATGGATTAAATTTATTTTTCCTTCAAGAAGTATTCGTACAGCTTTAATCGAAAATCTAGAACATGAATGTTCTCTTTGTCATTGTCAACATGTAGCGATTGATCAATAAATCGAAATTTATATTTACGAAATCATATTAAACGTTGGCAAGAATGACAGAATCAGTCTTCTTATTTTCATTTATTAATATCTCAACAAACATTGAATCAAGATTTAGATACGACATTAACAAATTTTCCAAATTCAAATGAAGTTGAAGAGAATAATCCAAGTATTGTTTGAACAAATTCTCAACAATCAGTTTCTTCAATTGAAGCGCCGATTATTACTAAAGTACAACCACGAGGAAAGAGTTCATCAACACAGCCAATTTTTTCAAATCGACTGGCTGATATAACGTTTGAAGATGATAAAGGATCGAATTCAGATCGAATAACAACGAGGTTTGTTTATTGAATTTTTTTTTCGACAATAACTATTTTTTTTACAAATTTTTATCAAAAACACGTTAAATAGATTTAAAGAAACAACAGATACATTTCCATCATCAACGACTTTGGAAGATAATTTACAAATTTTGTTTTACTTTTCTCAATAATGAATTCGTTTTATTAAGTTGAAAAATCTGAAGGTGCAACTCTACCAATTAATCCAATTTATCCTTTGTACTAATGACTTATGGAATTATGAATTACAGAAAAAATATTCAAATGGTGATTCTATTGAATAACCATGGTTTAATGCCATGCTCATTTGATGTTATCTTTAATTCAGTTGAACCATATTTTGGAAAGAAGTATGTTAGTATTATTCGAATTTTCTTTTCCTTTTTCTATTCAAACGATCTTTTACCGTTGTTCATTCTGATCGACAAAGCAGTTGTGAAAACTCAAAGTGAAACTGATATTTTACTTGAGTGACAACGTAAAAAATATCAAATACCTAAAAAATGATAACAGTCATAATTGAATACCGAATCAACTGATTGGCAGTGTTTTACCAATGCATCTTGTTCGATTTCATAATGATGTTCTACCAACATCATTTGTATGTCAACGCGATTTGTTTGTTATGATATTAAAATTAGCATTCAATTTTTTTCTATTTATTTTTCAAAGAATAAAGACTAAACAATATCCTACAATTCATTTATGACTAACTAGGATTATTTTAATGAATAATCTTTGTTTATAACACGACTGTATGTACTACGAATGAAATTAAATCAAACACATAATACGAACTCATTTAAAAAGTTGAGACAAAAAACAATATTTGCAAAATAAATCTAATGTTTTGTTGTTTCAAAGAATCAAACAAAATAAAACTATTTTTAAGTTGGTGCTGATGCCCATGAAAGATTATCATCGTCATCATCATGATCGTTTTCAGGTTCACAAAGTAATGAAGCTCCTCGTTTTATATTAAGAGATATTGGTGTTTCTTGTTGTTCTTGAAGTTTGTTGTCTAGTTCTCGAATATTTTCTTTAAGAAAATTTGTTGCTACCTAGAATAGTAACAATAAACACACACACACATACATCTGTGCTAATATTTAAACAAAACAAAAAATAAGAAAAGAAATTACGGCTGTAGATAATAGATTAACCATCGGAATAGTATTTAAATATGTTAAATTAAAAAATTGATCAATCAATATAATCAATTCCGAATCAATAACACCTGTTGGCAATGGATTAAGTAAAGGTCTTAATAATGGACTAGCAAATGATTCAGATTTTTTTTTCAAATTTTGTTCTATTGAAATAAAACTTAATTTTTATCATAAAACAAAATTCAACTGGTAAAATATTAATTAACCTTTCTCTAATTCTGATGTTGTTTTTAATTGATCATATAATTTACGTGAAAGAATTTCATCAATTTCATTTGGTGATAATGTTGATGATTGTTCATAAGTAGTTACTTCTGTAATCAAAGATGGTCTTTGATAATAACGATTAAAACAATCTAATGTACTCGATGAATCTCCAAGAAGATAATCACTTGAAAAAGAAACACGAGGCATTGTATTCAAATATAATAAACTGATCTACATAATGAATAAAACGAAGAAATCAAAGTTCTATGTCACATGGTATTTAATCAATATCATTGTTTTTACTAGAAGATTTTTGTTAATATTAAAATAAATTTTAAATATATATTATCATTTTCAATTTATAATTGTTTTTTTTTGTTCCCACAAAATTTCGATAAATAATAATAACGATTTCTAGCACCATCTATTATTCAATTACTGATAGTACGATTGATTCGCACAATGAAATAATTTCTCTTTTTTTCCAGAGAAAAAAAAGATTTTTTTTTAAAAATCATTTCATTGTTCGATTCAAATTTGTTACGTCAATTCTTAATTTTTGTCTTAACATTATGTTTAAAAAATTTAATGAAAAAGATAGTGTAACAAGTGTTACTCAACTTCGTAATACAGATGTTAAACGTCTTAAACATCGTTTACAAGAAGATTTTCCTCATATTGCATCTGTACTAGATGAAATTTTACCAAAAAAAGATACACCAAAATTAGTTAAATGTCAAGATCATATTGAATTAATAACTGATTCATCAGGTCAACCATTATTTTTTCGCTTTCGAGATTCACCATCATATATACCATTATTACGTTTATTACATAAATATCCATATATTTTACGTCCTCAACAAGTTGATAAAGGTGCAATACGTTTTGTACTTTCAGGAGCTAATATAATGTGTCCAGGTTTAACATCACCAGGTGCTAAATTATGTGATGCACCAAAAGATTCAATTTGTGCTGTTATGGCCGAAGGTAAAGAACATGCATTAGCTATTGGTCTATTAAAAATGTCAACACAAGATATACAACAAATAAATAAAGGTGTTGGAATTGAAACATTACATTATTTAAATGATGGTCTTTGGACTGTTAAACAAGGTTTTAAATAATCTAGTTTTGTCTCTTTTTTTTTCTTTGATTTTGATTTTTTTGAGAAAGTTGAAATATAAGAACAGAGATATAAAACGATCCTGAGGAAACAAACAAAAAATGAAACATTTTCTCTTTTTATTATTTATTTGTTTCAGATAATGGCAAATAATGTTGTAGTTGAGACACATTATACACAAAATATGAATCGTTCATTAGCAGCAGATTCTGAAACATATCAACAATGTAATTATCAAACATTTCAAATGCTTGTTCTTTCTGTTGTTGATCCATTAAATAGTATGTAGAATACGAAAACAAAAATGGAGTATTATATAATTTTAATTTTTTTTTAGCTGATGAAGTTCGACTAAAACATCTTCATAATATTGCTGAAAATATTGAAGTAAGAAAATGAAAAAACAAAATTTGTTTTCAAGTGAAAAATAACAAATTTCTTTCATATTAGATTCTATCGACTGTACCAAACTATGCAATATATATTGATTTATTAGTTAAAAATCTGCTTAGATCGTTAATTGAAACAGATACTGTATTTATCATACCTAGTAATGCACAAGTATGTATTAACTTTCAGAAATTTGAGATATTTCCTAAAGAGTAAAAAAGTTTTACATGCTCATAAAACGAGGAAAAACAGTCTATTATTATATTTAGTACTACATATACTTCGAGCAATGGGCTATTTAATGGCGTTAAAATTTTTGTTACAAAGTTTAAGTAGAATGAAAAATCAGCTAATTTTAAAAGAATTAGCCTGAAAATAGCGACATCTACACAAGACTCAAATTTTTACGAAATCCACTGAAGTGACAACCAAGCACAATATATGTTATAAACCAGCATGATGTCCGCTACTGATTAATAAAAGAAAGTGTTCAATTACTACTGATAATTCCTGAGAAAAAAATTTTCCTTTTTCCACAGTGCTTTTCCAAACCGCTATATTAGTAAAATGAGCGCGCCCTCCAGAGCCCAATTTGAAATTTATTCAAACTTTGCCAGAATGTTCTCCCATATGTCCTCTATCACCACAGTTAGCCTAAATGTTTCTGGACCCTACAACACCTACAGCAAATTTTCGAAAAAAAAAACATAGTTTTTCAGGTATTTTCCATTTTTCGCGGCCCAGAACCGTTTTTATTCAATAAAATATCATATTTAGAATCAGCGCACAAAACTGCATCGAAGGATGTGTAATTTGTTAGCTTTTCAAATAAAACGTTTTTGACAAAAAATTAGGGCAAGGGTCCCCTTGAGGGATTTTTCATTAAAAAAATTAGTTTTCGGATTTCACTTTTTTTATCAGTAATTGCTTTCTGAGCAGTAGAAACTAGTATTTCTGTGAAAAAAAATCCGATTTTAACATGAAATAAGTGATCTCCATATGTTCTATAGAAATTGCCCACTGTGGGATGGTTTTAATAATAGTGTCATGAAAATGTATTAATTCTTATATTTAGTTCTTTATTGGTTCTATTTTATTTCTAACATGAAAAAAAAATCATTTGGCTAACTTTTAACTTAAGTGTTGCGTAGATGCCAAAGTTAAATTGAAATTGTAAACTAAAAGTAGACATACTACGTACATGAAGACGATTATGGATCGCGAAGCACCGTGACACCGAAATAAAAGATCATTTACGTAAGCGGAAGTGTGTTCAGCTGATGAAAATTTGAATGTCAATTAGCTATCTTTAACAGTGTGTTAATTGAAGTTTTCAGTATTGAAATGTGGGTAGAAAATTCGTTTGTTCTTCACAGAGATGGAAAATGGTATCATTTACCTACCAGTAGTTATTTTTTTGTTCTTAGTATCTCATAGAGGATATACCATGAGAGTTTAATAAAAATTGACCATACCGAATATCACTATCGACAGCTACAACAGTATGACAATTGATCAGTCCAATGTCGGTATGGATTTCAAACCGGTTCCATCTTGTTCATCCGGACCACTCAAATATGTTCTTTGCCTGTGCGTTAGCATGCGTGTTAATATAGCTTGACAACCTTACATACTCAATGTAGAGAAAACAAGGCGTTGTACTTAAACTACTTTAAGGTATGCTGCAAAGCTCTTGCCACTGAGTACTTTTTAAATGATAGTTGAAGAAACAAAACTTACTCTTTTCTTAAATTTTTAGTAAATAATATTACTCTTGTCAATCAGATTTCCATTGAAAAGATATCAAAGAACAATGCGTAATATTGATACGAATATTTTTGTTTTCTACTATAGACAATTCGAAAACAAATAATTGAAATTTTTCATCGTTTACCAATAACTGAAGCACTACGTGGATTTGTTAAAGATATTCTTTCTCCAATGTTTAAATTATTAACAAAAGAAAATGAAGAAAATGCATTACTTTTATTACGTATTATTGTTGAATATATGAAACAATTTCGTCCACAAATGATTATGGAAGTTCGTGAATTTCTTCAATTTGTTCATAATGTTTATCGACAAAAAGCTTCAGCACTTGATCAAATTTTTTTAACAAAAACATTTTCTCATCCAACATTAACAATTAATGAAATTGATTTATCAGCTATAATTGAACAAATATGTACATCTGTTAAATTAATTGTTAAAAAAATTCAAAATTTTCCAGTACAATCATCAATAACAACTGATGAAACAACTAATTCAACATCACATATCGCATCAGATACAGTAATAATAGATTTTAAAAATTTTATATCCCTATATTATTAATTATTTCTTTAGTTTACAATTCTTTCTCGTGCATCACATTCAGTAAAATTATTAGCTGAATTTCCAGTTGCTATCGTTCTTCTCTATCAACTTTGTCGACAATCATTACAAGCTGAATTTGGTGAATTAGTACCACTGTTTTTAAGATATCTTACATTACAACCTAGCAAAGAACAAAAGTTTGTTTAATAGTATTTTTTTTTTCTTTATTTTTGTAAAATATTGAAAATTTATTTTTAGAAATGATCCGAAATTTAATATGGAAATTTACATTGAATTTCTTACAACACAAGCAAAAACATTATCATTTCTTGCTTTTGTTGGTAAAACATATCAGGTAAAAATATAAAAGGATTATCGAATTTGTTTGCGTTCAATTAATTGAATATCTATCGAAATAAAATACTAACATCATTAGTTGCTTTTTGCATGTTATCTTTTCATTACCTAATATATTTTATTTAACACAAAAAGAGATCTACAATTTACACAGAAAGAAGCATAATTTTTTTTTTACTTTCTCCTAAAAGCATTTTATTGGCGATGGCGTTTCATACATAATAATCGAAAACGTTGAGATCGAAACTATTTGGTGACTATCTGTACTTGTCTAGGACATGTACGAAATACTTTTTGTACTATGCAAATGTTTCTTGATGTGTATGAGGCATTGCATTGTCTTATTGAATATAGTTCTTATGTGATATTGTTTTGTCAGATTCAAATACAATTGGAAACAAATGTTTTTAAACTATAAATACATATTTAAAACCAGCCTTTGCTTGTAAGTTGTGGAGATTTTTTCATTACATCTTGTGGTATATTTTGTTTTTTTAATAAAACACATTCAATAATGAAACAATGACATGCAAATTTTTTTCTTAGTTATTAGAGTTTCATATTGAAATTCCAAGTCCGGCGTCTGAATGAAACACTCTATTGGAAACGATATCTTTTATCGTCGTGTAAAACTTTCGTCGAGTGTCATATCGTCATGATTCGTGTGTTCTAAATAGAAATGAACATGATGGCCTCAGTCAACTGAAAACGACCAGTTCAGATCCCGTCTAGTGATATACTATTTATATAGTTAACTAAAATTTTTTAAAATAGAAAATAATATTTGATATTATTGATATGAATAAGTAGTTCTTTCGCTTATTGAAAGATCAAAACAAGATGTTATTATAAAACTTCTTTTTTTTTTGTATTTCAATAGGAACAATTGGCATTAAATAGTGATTTATTAGTGATTGCAATTTTTCAATTACTTGATGGTTGTCCACCTGAAAATGTTCAATTACGAAAAGATATTATTGTTGCTGCTCGACATTTTGTTTCGTCAGATTTTCGAACATGTAAGTTATTATTTTAAATTAAATAAATAAATTGTTTTATTTGAATTCTAGTATTCATTCCACATGTTAAACGATTTTTTGATGAAAACTTATTACTTAGTTCGGGTTATACTGCACGTGAAACACTTAAGTTTGTTATTTAAAGAAATAAAATGAATAGTTAATTTAAATTATTTTCTTTTTGAATTTTTTTTAGACCATTAGCTTACAATACATTTGGAGAATTTTTTAATCATATTCGTGCAAATTTATCTATTGAAGATCTTCAAAACGTATTATATATGTATTCAAAAATGATTCATGATTCAAGTTTACCACCAACAATACAAGTAACAAGTTTAAAATTTTTAACAAATATTGCAGAATCAATACGTCAAAAAGGATCGGAAAAAGTAAAAAAATTTAAACAATAGATAGACTGAATTGTTTTATTCGTTTTTTAGTCTCGTGATCTACTTATACATGTTGTTGAAACTCTTGTTTTTAAATGTAAAAGTTTACCTAAACAATGTACTCATTTATCTACTACATCCAATGAAAAATCGTATGTATATTTTTTTTATGATGCTTTTTCGATATAATTTTATTCTTTAGAAATTCTTCGACGATTTCAGCTGTTAATGAAGTTGATGTAACAACTAGTACATTGAATGAACTTGTTCAAAATATGAATGATATAACAAATAGAGAAAAAGAACTTCAACGGCAACAGGTATTGATTCATTATAATGGCTATATTCAGTTTATAACTTATTGTTGAGGATCAAAGATGAGCATACGAAAATGTTTTTGCTTTGTACTATCCTATATTCTGTTCTTTCGTGTCTTGTCAAGTAGAGTAAGCCGTGGTGGATCATTCTTTGACACGTATTCAAAAGATGTTGTGTGCAAATCTTAGTATCACTAGTCATGGAATGAGCATGGACCAGTCACTAACAGTTATTTGTCTCGGATCAATCACTCTATAGCATGCTGATTATGTTGTAACATACAACTTCGGCTATGGTTAGCTCGTGTGTATGAAAGCTCAAGATCTTTGCGTCAGGTTGGCTTTCTATTCAGGGCTACATCTGAAAGATATCGAGCTATTGAATATTCTTGTCCTTCCACATGAAGTAGGACATAGTGATTTACTTAGGGCTAACCAAAGTTCTAAGCCCTGTGTTTGAAGGACCTTGCCGGATAAGGTAACCTATTCAGGAATGAGAAACCAAGTATACCATATTGTAGAGCATTTTTAGGCGCATCGAATGGTGTAGAGTAAATCCTGTTTTCATAAAACTTTGAAGGAACTAGAGCCAACTTACCGGTAGACGACTACACGCTCACATCGATACCGACAGCTAAGCATGATATGNACTACTTACAAAGAGATACATGTTTCTATGTATCTCTTTGCATGATAAGACCAGTCACAACTAGGACTTATTATATGAGCGATTTTCCGTTATCCTATCCAATTAGCTTGTGACGACTCCATTTTAGGTCATGTAAGTTGAGAAGAAGTTGTCATACAAAAGAATATTTTCTATAAGATTAAGTCGGTTTTTCAAAAATTTCAGCTCAAATAGAAAGCGTTGGATGATCAATACTAACTAGAACGCGTAAGGTTGATATCGGACTCTATCGGATCGGAAGATACTTGATTTAACGAACTCTAAATAGAAATTATGAATTGAATATTTCTTTAGAAAACAACGTTCAACATCAATTTCTCTCAATGAATCAAAAGCGAAACATTTTAAACGAACAATTTCATTTGAAAATATACGTCGTTTATCAGTTGATAAACTTCCAGAAAAATTTCAACGTGATTCAACCAATCAAATAAAATTAATTGAATTAATTAATGATGAAATAAGTTTTCTAAAAATTCTCTCATCAATACAATTAAAACCAAATGATTTATTTGATTCTATAATACAATTTTTACATACAAATAATTCAATTCTTATTGATACATTAGCACATTATTTATTTATTGATCTTTTACCTAGAATTCTTCGTATTATATCGGAAAAATATCGTATTATTTTATTTCAACAAATAATTCAACCATTTTTTGTTAGTGGAACACATTTACAACAACGTGATTTATATCCATATAGTTCATTAAATACTTTACTTGAAGCTTTTTATGTTATTTTTAAAAATAATAATAATTTATCCGAATTCGTACCTATTATACGACCAATTATACTTAAATATATTGCTAAAACACATAATACATGGCATAGAAGTATTTTATTACTTGAACAATATATATTAGATCAACAACCAAATAATGGTGAGTTAGTTGTTAACAACAAAAAAAAAAAGATCTCAGCTCTATTTTTGTGATGAAACTCATTAATAAATAAAGACATAGTCAGTGAATAAAACTAAAAATTACTAAAAGAAAACATAAGAATAGATCAACTCTAATTCAAACTGTTCGTTGTATTTTGATATATCAGATCTTACTTTTCCAAACGCCATAATCAAAGAAAAATCATCGTATGATAAAAACTTGAGAAGAGTGTAGATCATCGTGTGCATTTTTCACATTACAGATGAACATGTAACTTTCGCTCTCGGAAATGGTTTTCTTTTGCTCATAAGTGATTGTATACCACTTAAAGAGTCACTTTTAAGAAGAGAAAAAGAATTTTTTGACGAGAAACTTCTAAAGAGAAACCTTATCCAAAATTTTTTTTATTAGAAAATATCTTGTGCTATATATTATCTGATGTAGCTTCACGCACGGATTTCGAATATGTCACTGTTGTGCAATGAAAATATTTCTAAACTGAAACTATCTGGAAAACTCTTGTTTCTTGAAAAATCTATATCTAAGTCCAGAAACGTTTGTGCTTACTGTTTGTGAGAGAACTTAGATAGACGAATATTTTGACAGTTTGAGCGAATTTGGGTCCTGGCTAAGAATGAACTCGTTATTTTATTGAGCTCAGTCATTGGAAAAACCACTAAAGAAACATTTTCATTTTTTCTTAAACATTTATTAAAATCATTTTTTTACGACTTCCACATCCTCGGTGTAATTTACTGGACTAGACATCATCCATTGCAGATTTCATTCCTCTAGAACCACAAAAAATCATCTGTCTGTTAATAAGACTTATTTTTTTGATCAGAAAACTCAGTCCTATCTAACTCTGCATTGATTACGTGAATACATTGATCCGTCATTTTAGAGCTTTTAACAAATGATGAAACCTATATTGAATCATTAAATTCTCTCGGTGAATTATATGAACATTTAAATGAAGATGATTATAATATAAGTCTTTGGTTACATCGTCAATTTTCACCAAATATTAAACTCTTAGTTTCAAATGCATTGCAATATGAACAACTTGGTCTATTTCAACAAGCACTTGATTATTATACACAATCAATAAAACATCTCCATACAAATCAAATTTCATCATCACCATCATCAACATTAAATAGATTTTCTCAATTAGATGAATATTCATTTCTTGAACAACATTGGATAAAATGTACTAAAGAATTAAATCAATGGGAAACATTAACATCATATTGTAAACAACAAAGTAATCGTGATCATTTACTTTATCTTGATTGTATATGGAGATCAGCTAATTGGTCATTAATGAAAGAAACTCTTGGACAATTAGATGCTATGTGTAATGGTACAAATATAAATTTAACAAATTCATCTATTCAAACATTTCAATTTTTAAATCCAAATCCAACATTAACACAATCAACAATAATATCAAATATATTAACAATAAAAGATTTTCAATGGAAATTTGCATTATATCGTTGTTATTTAACATTATGTTCAACAATAACAAATACAGATGATCCAACAATATATCAAACAACAATGAATATAACTGAACGTTTAATTGATTATTGTTCATTAAATGCATTAAAAGAATGGAAACATTTACCAAATTATATATCAAATTCACATTTAAATTTATTACAAGCATCACAACGTATTATTGAATTACAAGAATCTGCACAAATTTTATTAAATATTCAAACAAATACAAATAATAATAATACATCAACATCAATTATATCAACAACAACAAATGGTAATACATCAACAACAACAACAAATATTCGACAAACAACAAATATTCATGAATTTAAAACTATTGTTAAAACATGGAAAAGTCGTTTACCATTAATTAATGATTCATTAAGTTATTGGAATGATATATTTACTTGGCGTGAAATACAATATAATACAATTAGTACACAATTTGATAAAGATCTTAATGGAACAAATCTATCAGCTGGAAATAATATTAATAATTCAAATACAAATACAGGACAAGTTTTACTTGGTATTCATGCTGTTGCTCAATCAATTACACAATTGGCTAAAATTGCACGAAAACATCATATGCCAAATATTTGTATGGAAATTTTATCAAGGTAAATTGAACAGAAAAGAGAATATCGGCACGGCCAGCCATCGGTCCCCTTCGTTGGGGAAGGTTCGAAATCAGTAAGATTCAGAAAAAAAAATTTGTTATAGAGAGTGTGATCTTGGAATATTATTAAGTTTGTTCCGTATTCCGAGTTACACAGCTGACACATAAAAC